GCCCTGGTTGTTTTTTCACCGTCGCTTCTTAATTCCAAAGTTGCCAGAGTCTGATGTAGTCGATGGTCATCTAGATTACTTATCCACTCCTCTATTTCTGTTTCTGTGTCGTCCATGTCTTTCATGTTTGACATTCTTCTATTTATTATTATCACTGGGTGTGCGCGCTGAGTTAGATCCAGTGATGTTTGTTGTGTGTGTGTGTACTTTTATCTTTCTAATTTTCGATATTATTTACAGAAATATCAAAAAAAAATTTTCCGAAATCAAAAGAAAATTTTAACTTGTTATGGTAATTAAATTTTAATTTTTGGTGTGGTATTTACCATGAGGTTTCTTAGTTTGCCTTTTCTACGCTGATTTTACAATTATCCTACCTATTAATTTTCACTTACTGTTTGTAGGTGAACATTTGTTAGTTTTTCTCGGCGTAATTATTTGTGTAAATTTGTCGTCGTACAGTGAGCAGTTTTCTATTTTTAGATTTTCTGTCAATAATTTTTAACGAAAATTTGAATATTTTAAAAAGAAAATTTTATTGAATCGAACAATTTTCTCGCGCCGTGATGTTTTTGCCGAGAGAGCGTGCTTAATTTGATTTGGTTTATTTTTCAAAGAGGAGGAATTAGATATTAAACAATTAATTTTAATATTATTAGATGTTATCAATTAAATAATAAATAATAATCAATGTTTACTATTGAATACGAATGTATTTGCGTCGGTATTATTCGCTGCTCTATGTTACGCGGCTAGCCTGTTGCCGCTGTGTTTTGTTCGCTCTCTCTCTTCGCGGCTTATGACGTCACGGCGTCGGAGTTTCTTGAGCGCGCTACCGTGTTACAAGCTTGCGCGCTCACTTTACCGTGCTCACTGTATACTTCTCTGGCCTCGAGATTTTGTTTGGGTTAGTAAACACTCTCGGCCTTACAATGGTCTGTTTATTTCGTGGCCAGAGTACGCTTGACAAATTTTATCGCCTTGAAACCTCGTGGTGTTTCCTTTTACACACACACACACACTTTCTTTTTAATTTAGCGCGGGTCTCTCTCTCTCTTGGAATTTTTGTCGTGCGCGCCCTATCAATTCTCTTGTCGGGGTTCGTCCTTTTCCTTATGCTTTGTTTTCGTTGGGTCGGGCGCCACTGTAACGGTTGTTGATTTCTTCGGAAGTAAATCGCCGTCCGTTAACAAAATATCTACGTCACTGCCGTTTTCCTCTTTTGGCCAGCTCTGTGCTGGACGCGCAGCCTGAAAATGAGCGCGAAAGCACGGAACAACAAGAAAGAGCGGTGGTTGCAGTATCTTAGAAAACGTTGCGAAGGAGAAGGGAACGTAGAGAAAATTCGGTGCTATCGAATGAATTTGCCGACTTATTCAGTGTATTCACAGCGGATTTTATTCATTACTTATTCACACGTTAGCGCACATTCCATATTGACCGAGAGATTCGTAGCGCACAGCCTAATCATACGTACGCATGAGAGAGAGACAGAAAATACATATTTGATCAAACGCAGCCGGTTCTGTTAACATGCGCTCACTCCCCGGCATTCTCGCTCGCAATCCCGAAAACAAAAGAAAAGACTTACGCGGACGAATGCTGCTGCAGACAGCTTCACCTTCTACTTTAAACCTGGTCGCGTAAAGGTCGTCGCCCAGAATTGTCGAGGCTGAGAGGCATACGAGTTGGTCCTCGTGAGTTATGGGCGACGAGTCGGACCTCCTCGTTCGGGTGATGGTTTTCAATCCGGTCGTCCTCACACGTTAGTCGCTGCCGAGTGTCTCTCTCAATCACAGTGCTCACTCTACCCAGTAGCACAATGTCACTCCGCGGGATCGCTGCGTCGCCCGATTTTTCACGAAAAACAAGAAGGAATTCTTGGCGCGTGCTTTCTCCTTGCCGGTCTCACGTGTACTCTCCTCAGCCCGCGTGTCCTAGCTATCTCTCTCTCTCTCTTTCTCGCTGCGCGGGTCTTTTGCGCATGGCGCGCTATTTCGAATATCGCTCATCTATTTCTCAACGAGCCCGGTCGTTACAAATTCAAAATTAATCAACTATAAAGTTATATGAAAATTTAATAATTTTCTATTGTAAATATTGTAATATCACGTTAATTAACATTATTAGTTAATAACTTTTGACGACACTATTGGCGATAATTGTATATTTTATAAAATCAACAAATAACAAATTCTGTAAAGTTTACATGTGTTAAAAACTTAATATTAATGGTTATTTACTTGTAAATTAAGAAAACTCATTTCTCAAAATTCGCGAATGTATCTCGAATTTTCGATGACATCTCTCCTGCAAAAATAAGCGGGAAAATCTATGTATAAATAGGCCCACCTCTGCACAGGCTAGTATTCACTTCTAGCCTTGCAAGGTGAGCGCATGAGTCTGAATAAACTTGGATTATACCTAAGTTCTTTCTCTCATTGTGATTAACTGAGCAAGACTGTCCTTTCCTTATAATTTGAGCTCGACTTATAGAACATCTCGCGCTATAAGAAACTTGGGCCGAATTATATCCTATCAAAGAAAGACTTTAGATTTGCTTATGGGACAATTCGCACCATAAGAAACTAGGGCATTGTCTGACTTTCCTCGAAATATTGTACTTATTTATGTATATTTGATTTACTTATTGATTACATTTGATTTATTTATCTATTTCATAGACAATTAGAGTAAAATCATTAGAAACAATTTCTTACTCATTAGCTATATACGAGAGTTCGAATTATTTTATTTATAAGTGATACGAACATCACAACTGTAAACCATCGTGCGGTGTGCTAATTTCTACCATCGCTTTGTAACAAATCCTTTTGTAAATATTGTTAGTTTTCACATAATAAAGTTTAATGGTTAACTACGCGAGTAAGTTATTTGCCCAATTTCGCCTCTTTAAAATTCCACCAGCATTATTGTCATCTAGATAGATCGTTGAGCTGAGTTCATTCGTGCGTTCCAAATCCTCTCTCTTCATAAATAATTTATAACGGTTTGATGAGTTAAGTGTTCCCGACTCTCGCGAATACAAAAGGTACATAATTCCGTTTCAGAGAAACAACTATCGCGATGCACGATAAAAATTCAAAATGAAACTATATTACTTTGTTGGATTTTAAATTAGTATCAATGAAATATGGAGATGAACCGAAAATTGAAGTGCAAAGATGGCATGAGTCGGCTAAGTGGTCGATCCTCTTTCTTCAAGCATTTTCGATGTACATGCCAAATATGGGTAGGGTCGATCTGTATGATAAAGATTATAATAGATTATAAAGATTATATCAATTAGGAGTAAAAAATGGTTTTGATGGCTCTTTTTACGATTTTTTCAGGCAGGATTGACTCATATTACTATAATTTACAAGAAGTTCTAAGGAGAGTTGCCAAAAAGCTGTAAACAAATTGTAGAAGAGGTTTGCAAACATCATCACTAGAAATTTACAAGTAAATGTTCCGAGAAACGAAAGAGGTTCAATGATCAATTATCAAATGAATACAAAATAATGCAAAGTATGCACAAAATATGATCAATAGCGTCGTGTGCGACAAAAACTGAATCTGTTTTGCTAAGCATGTTTTATATCCAATGTAAAAATGTGTAGAAAACACCAAAATGGATACATGAATGAATCCGAATAAAGATTCAATAATGCTAAAAATTCAATATAGCCGTTTTTCTTTAACAAATTGAAGTCTAACCAAAAAATATTACGTACATTTTTTTCATATTTTTTTCCCGTAGAATCGATTGTCGTAATCAGTTTAAAAAATGACTTTTTGGATAATTTCTTTAAACAAACTTTTATAAATTATCGCAATTGCAAAAGAGAAAACACACCCTGTGTTATAAATAGCATAGTTAGTTTGGTGCTATATTATCCAGTTTTGGTATAGACCTTAATGGGTTACCATATCATGTCTTCAATGTGATGATAAATATTAATAAAACACTCCAAACAGCGATAAAATATGCACTATTTGAAAATTATGGAACTTTACTCTGTATAATTCGTATTGAAATATGTGATATTAGTGTGTATATTATCTTCTAATTCTGTAACGTATACTTCGTACACAATAGATATCTACGATGTACAGATTTTAAATTTACGTTATTCAGTAAATAGTATCATTTTCTTAAATAATTTGTTAACAAAAAATATCCATTAGTACGAATTAACAAATATATAAATAAAATATAATTTAATTTTATATTAATGAAAATTATCTTACATTAAATCATGAATTTCTAGTTCCAAATGTTTTAAAGGAATTTCAAATACATCTAAGAAACCTTTTGTAAGTTGATTTGTAGTTGTTGGAAGACTTAGAGGTGAATTTCTGTAAATTTTATTTTAGTTAACGTACAATGTAATTGACATGCATCAAGAACATCATTTATGAACATAAATTACCTATGCCGAACGTGAGAAAGAGTACATAGTATTTCCATTTCTTTTTCACTGATAGATAACATTTTGAAGAATCTAAAATAATTTCTTTCAGATTATAAATTTATATAAAAAGCCTTTTTGATTATGTGAAACCATGTAAAACATGGAAACCTATCTTTTTTCCGAAATTTAATTTTATACACTAATTCTTCCAAACTCAAACTTTTTTCTGTAATATACTGCATAAAACTCTAATATTGAATTATCTACTTTTATGAATTCTATAGGTATTATAGAATAATCATTAGTTGCATTAAAATAGTTCTCGTTATCCCATTGAAAGTTGTGGTATTCTATATTTCTATTATTCGGAATTTTATTATATGAATTGGTTGTGTGTATGTTTATTACGAAGGATGTGTCCGCCGAAAGAGGTTCTAGATAAACATTTAATGTAGATAATTTTAAATTCAATAAGGTCAAGGTTTCACTTATATTTTCCAAAAATGAGTCAGTACTGTAACAAAAAAGTGATTTACTCAGCTCTTAGCTTATTCCAACTATATATTATGTACTCATACTTACTCTAATTTATTAATATTGAATTTTTGTAATTGACAGGTAAATTTTTCAGTAGGAACCTTATTCCTATTTAAATGCAATAGATTGATGGATTGTAAATGTAAAATATCTTCTTGGATTATATTCTTTATTGATGCTAATACTTTTTTTATATAACCATTTAAATGAGTATCTTGCAAAATATAAACGTTCAATCCAATAACTTCCTTCTTGTTGAAAATATCTTTCGGATATATTTGTCTGTAATATAAAATAGTATGAATAACCACTTCTAGGAACTCCAATACTATATCTGTACCAACTAAAACACATAATAAAAGCTAATAAAATGTTCTAACTATGAATAACTCATGAATTTTTAATTTTTAATTATTATTATTTAAAAAAATAAATATTCCAATTATTTAACATTAATACAGTATCATGTTAGAATTATTTCAGATTTTTGTAAACATGAATACAATTGTTAACAACACTAAAATTGCAATTTTTTCAATTATTGATTCAACTTTCATGATATTTTTTTACTTTTATGAAGTGAGTGTTTGGCATGAAAATTCTAACTTTATCTTTTACCCTTTTATTCTACTCTTCAAATCATTTCTAATACTATTATATTTATAATGGCTATCATCTTACTTCTATCAATATTTGCTTTCAAGTAAATCAGATATGTTTCATTTGTGTTTACTTTTGTCTCACTTTCCTGGACGCAACCCTTCTCAGGATCATCGCAGGATCTATTATTATTGTAATATATTAATAATAATTATTATTGTTGATGTTATTATTATTATTATTATTTTTAATATTAGCATTATACATGATGAAATTGTATAAATAACCGAAGCGAAAGTAAAAAGCGCCTGAAACGGATGGAATTCCAGTAGAGACACTTAAAATAGTAGCTCATAGCTTCACAAAAGTTTTACTTGATATATATGACGAATATCTAAAAGCTTTTTTTAGTATTAAAGTTTTTTTAGTACTAGACGGAAAAATATATTGTTGGTATTAAGCAACATAGAAGGTAACTTAAGTAAGTGGCGGCGAAACGTTTTTCTTATTATTTTTTATTTCTAAATTTTTGTTTCTTTGTTTCATTGTTTGAACTTTTGCTTGGCTGAGATAGAAAGAGAGGGAAAGAAAGAAAAAGAGATATTGCTATTTTGACTGATCCTTTATTTGGCCTATGACAAAATACAATAAAACACTTAAATGACAGAATTTCGTCAAGGGCCTATTACAACATTGAAGGCATTGCGCAGTAACTTTCTTAGTCAGAAACTTATAATTGCAAAATAAAATAAAATCAGGTTGACATATCAAATACAGACTGTCTAGCTAACGGTAGAAATGAAATTCTCCTATTTTTCCCACCTTTTTCCGTCGATTTCATACAATTTTCCTGTCGAAAAAACAAGTGATATACTTTGCAGTTTATTCATAAATAAAAAAATTTTTCATTCAAATGATTTGCATTTCATAAACTATACGATTAAACATTTTTTCCGCCTTTCGTAAATCATCAATTTAATCATCAATAGCTGCAATATCTTTCAATAATACCCTTTTTTTCGATTTCTTTTATTTCTTTTGCCAATCCCTTTTTTCATTAGCCTCCTACATTTTGTTTCTTCGTTTTTCTTATCATTATAGAATTCTTTATACCTATAATGTACCACTCGAATATCAAGGAGCATTTTACTAATAAGAAGCATCTTGCTTACATTTCCTTTTCTTCTTACTGACTCATAAATGATACGTAGAGCTATGAGACTATTCTATTTCATTTTATATAATTGCCTCTTTATTGACTGAAAATCTACGTTCGATCATAGCATTACCATAAGATAAAATTAAGACTAATTTTAAGAAGGATTTAAAATTGAGCCACACTCTATTAAACATATCTAATATTTTCATCCAAAATGTATCAAGGCGTTTATCATGATAATTATATTTTTGCATACATTTAATTACCTTAGTTAAACGTAAGAGATTGTTATATTCTTATTGAATTTCATAAGCTATAGTACCAGAAATTAATTAATTTTTTTCGTGCAAAGTATCTAGACATAAATCAAGTCGCTTTTGTGCTACAATGATTTGGCTCACAATCAAACTTGGATCCAAACATGTTATGTATTTTGTTAAAGTATACAAAACAGTAGTGACCGCTTTTGTATTTTTTTAATCATCTATATATAAACCCCTTTACAATTACTCAGGAATTGCAATATTAATTCAATAAATGTTTTAGCTTCTTTTAAAGCGCTTTTTATTGAAAATATCATATCGACAGCTTTAGGAGAGAGCAGATTCTTACTTGTCATTTGCACCTTGATCACAAAAGAACATTTTTCTAACACTTCTGATTTGACGACACGTCACATTATATTAGTGGTTACATATGTTAGTTCTTCATGCAATATAAGAGCTAATGGAGTTTCTGCCTAAAAGTCGTCGAGGAATGGCTTAACTACAAAGGCAGCAAATATAAAAAAAGATAGTTTTGGCACTGCAAGTTTATTATTAATAAATTGTGAAACAATTTCAAACTGCCTGTGGCCATCATGGAGAGCATTTTTATTTCCCTCGCCTATAATTGCTGTTACCCATTTTTTCAAATACAGCAGCATTTCTATTGTTTTTCATGCTGGTTTGACATTTTCTACCCAGCTTGTTTTACAGAAAAACAACGGAAATAGTTAAAATAATGTTTTGATATCTCTGAATGTGATTGCCGGTCTCCAACTACTCAAGAAGATAATCCGACGGTTGCGCCTTACTGGATATATGCACCGTTCAACTCACTTCACTAACATTCCACAAACTCAACTCAATTCACTTGCTATATGTCTCAAAGGACCAAAAATCTACACTATCGCGTCTTTTTCTGAGCTAATTACTCAAGAGATCAAGATGCGGTGTAAGATGAAGAAAATTGAATAGCTTGCGTTGCAAAGAGATAGGTTGTAGGCATGTTATACTTTTCATAAATGTTGTTGGTTGCTGCTTCCTGAAAAATATATTGAGTTTGGGTGTTATATTATTATGGCGGTTGCGATTACGACGCTCTCAGGAAGCTCGATTATAATCCGCTTAGCAAAATCATAGATGACGCACATGGTGCAGCCTCGCGGCTGGCCAGGTCACTTTGTGCAACAATCTTTTGTCAAAGCGGCGGACAGTAATTGTCTTCCTCAACAGAGAACGGAGACTTCTCAAACAAATAATTCGTTGTTTTGGGAGAGAACGTCGTAAACTTCTCTTTTCTGTACGGGCATATGCAAATGCAAATGCTGAAGTACAAAATGCGTCACCGATTGCCCTCGACAAGCAACTAATGCTAGTCGACCAGAAGTGAATGCAATGTATATTTGAACAAAGACTTGCGATTGCAAGTGCAGATGTGTGTACTTCACGTGGTGGGGCTGAAAACGCTATTTCTGTAAAGAAACAGTAGGCAAAACACACAACGCTCGCCCCTAGGGCAAAAGGCCAATCGGCCAAACGAAAATAAACAACACGGACCATGACAACCCGTGGTGAGGTGTGGCCCGTAAACGCCCAAATATTCAACGCGGAGTCTACCATACCCCAAGAGCTCAACTCGAGCCCAGAAAAGCCAAAATCTGGGAGTTACTTGAGGGGAAATCTCTTGGGATTGTGGTACCGCGCGCCCTCTTAGAGGACGGGAGACCGCTCCGGGAGCTAGTTGCAGAGGACCAATGGTCCGGCAATCTGAATTTAATTCGGGTAGATAAGAAATTACTCCCTATCGACTGGCAATCGGTAGGTGCCACTATTGTGGGTAAAGAGTCGTGGCCGTGTTCATAGCAGCCACCCAAAATTCTTTGCCTCGAGCTCCGGGAGTACGACCCGACACCTTTGTGTGAGAAAACACAATTTGAACGCTAATTTCGAACGCTAAAACACCTGATTTGAGCCTGGATCTCGGAAATTGATTCGAATGAGTGGCATGACTGGCACGAATATTGAAAACTGCCTGGGGAGTCGCCTTGTCGGCTAGGCGAGACCCCGCCCCTGATCCAAGTCAGAAAATTAATCGAAAGAGTAGAGATCAATATCAGCGAGTCATAAAAGCCTTCCATAGAAAGCGAAATCCGAGACTCGGGCAAAAATCAGGACACATCCTTTTCGAATAACGGATACGCGTGAGCGGGGATGACCGAAACGCAGTGGGAAGACGTGCCTCGGCACGTCGAAGCGATGGATCTGTGAGTCGTGGGAGAAATCCCTTAATACAGGAACGCAGGGTGGGATGATCTTCGAACGTGAGCCCAGCAGGAGAGGCTTAGCTGGTTGATCGTCTTAGGAATTTCCTCTGGCTGTCCTGGCTGAGTCTCTCTTCTGACATCCCAATTTGGGTTGGCCTCTGCGAGGTAGTGGTACCAGGTCAAGCAAATCTCGTAAGATTTGTATGCCGCGTGCTTCCGACGAGGTAGACGTTGGGGCTACTTGAGTCCCGTCGCGCCCAAACCGAGGGTCAAGCCTTTAGTTCCGCTCTCCTTGAGCGTCGAACAGTGAAAAGATCGGTACTCCTTTCGAGAAGGTCGCCGCCTTAGATCAAAAAGGCTCCGACTCGCTGTGTGCGTCAAGGATGTAGTAGCAAACTTGACTTCCGGATTTCCAAAGTGTTTGAAAGCGAAAGAGTGAAAGACAGTGGGCTATGCCAACCTATTGGCGCCCAGAGAGAGGGGTGGTAATGTTTGATTACGCTATGCCACCCTCAAAACGAAAAAGTGTGAAACAACGCATACACTAGCTGTTATATTATTATGTCCTCTTGGTGCCTGTGTCTTGGTGTATAGTCACTGTGTAAGAAGACTTGATATCGCCTTGATTGGGTTAACTTGACTAGTTAATCAGAAGAGCTCAGCTGCTAGTCCTATTAACTGTTAGAATAGATTAGGACGAGGAGCAATAATGCACTTACTTTTATACAGAGGGCTGGGGTATAAGAGCGCTCTCTGATACTCCCGTTAGGCCGAATGGAAAGAGGTAGAAATGATTTGTAAAATGTCGTCCCCAAACGCAAGTTATTTGCAACAAAGAGGGAGTACGTGACGTCAGTACACAATTCGATGCTAGTTGAGACTTGTTGAACAAACAGAAGACAAGTATGATCAACAATCGTGTTATAAGTTAACAAATAGTAGAATTTGACTTGTCATCGAACTACATTGTAGGGATAGGACAGATGGCAAAACATTTATACTTAATGCTTACCAATCAATGTCGTCGCACATTCTTTGCCTTCGAAAAATTGGTTTG